TGGCTAAAAACATTATTATTCGTTGTTTTAAGATTTTGGAAATGGTCCATCCAGTTTTCTAAATGGCCCCTAAATTTCAGATTGATGGGCCCTTTGACCCCCTGAAAGAAATTCCTGGTAAGAACACTGCGGCTCGTATATGGGTGCTATGACTCCTAATTCTGTAAGTCGCTCAAGTTCCTGTTCTAATTGGGGTTTCAGGGCGAATGGTACTCTCCGTGATGGTGAGACTTGAGGAGGGATGCTTGGATCTACCTCCAGATTTTGTTCTCCTGGTAAAGTACCCCAATTCTCCTTCGAAAACGTACTTGTATTTGTATGTTATCGTCTCCGCCGTCATTGGCTCTGCTGGGCTTCCTGTGGCGTCTACACCGTTTATAAACTTGAAGTTGTTACGCTGGATTTTGATTAGTCCCATGTGCTCGCACGCCTCTGCTCCTAGTAACGGGGTCAAATTTTCCTTCACGATCAGGAATTCCAGGTATTTCTTGCTCTTCTTTGGGTTATTGACTTTAACGCGACAAATACCGTCTTGGTTTGACTTCTGACTTGTTCCACATTTGTAAAACTCGTGTGGTTGGGTTCAGGGTGTCGTTCTCGAGGTATCGCGCTGGGAGTACGTTGACAGACGCTCCACAGTCCACAAGGAATCTTATTGCCTTCTTTTAGATAAGCATCTCTGCGTATATTTGGTTTGATTGCTTTTGATCTACGGTGCTAATCGTTTCCGGTTTTAGTTCCACATAGTCTATATGTCGGAGTCACTTGAGTATACTTCCGAGACAGCATGCGTTGCGCTTGCTTTGTTTGCCTGACGTTGCAGGGCAAAATGGTTCCTCTTTCCACACAACTGATACGTTTTCCTCCATGCAGGACAATTATGCCGGCCTTGCTTGTGTTTTCCTCCACAATAAAAACACTTATTTGTCGGTTTACTTTGGGTTCCAGGGTTATTTTCACGCTTCCAAGCTTGTCGTTAATATTTGCCAGATCCCTTCTTCTCATGAACCTTATGGACGTCTTCAGCCGTTTTACGATTCCTGTATTCCCATGTCTTCATCTGTAATTCCGATGCCTTATCACTGCGACCGATCTCTATGGCCTTCTAAAGGTTTAGTTTTGACTGTTGTAAGAGACGTTTCCTCGTATTGTTGTTGAAAATGCCTAACACGATTCGGTCACGTATAAGGCTGTCATGTAGCCAGGTACAAAAATTGCACGATTGAGCCACTATCCTGAGTTCAGCAGCATATGTGTCGATAGACTCACCGTCTTTCTGATCTCGACTATTAAACAGAAAGCGTTCATAAGTTTCATTCGTTTCTCCGATTGCGTATTTCTCGAACACTAGCATTATTGAATTGAGGCCACCTTTGGTTTCAGCCCCAAAGCTATTATATGTCTTCATTGCTTCATCTCCAATCGAGTAGAGAAATAAGGCTATTTTGTATTCTTCTGGCTGGTCGATGAGTTTGGGTGGCAACAAAACCGAAAAGGAGAAATATAGGTAGTTTTATGGATAATTAGTATAGGAAATCGCACGATCTCGAGTACAATTTGGAAATTGAAAGACACGAGTAATGTTTTGAAAGTTCTTGTAATTGCACGAGCCTTTAGGCGAGTGCAATTAAAGAACTTTCAAAACATTACGAGTGTCTATTAATTCCAAATTGTACGAGAAGATCGTGTGATTTTTGGTTTATAGTTCACTCAACAAAATTTCAGTGTAAAAAATGCGGAGCGACGCCGTTCATCTTTGTCAATTTGGCGGCCGATTTTCAGTCCATCGCGCAACTGAAATGCATAAAAAAGATTAGTTCTTACGGCTTTAAAATTTTATTCATATGTTTTTTAAGTACAAAATGATAGAAAATAATTGTTTTGACATTGTTTTGGCCGTGTTGCAATAGCGACGGCATGTCAGTACATGTATATCTTCTATTTTGCTCTCAATTAGTTATTGACTCTGCCTGGGCAATTGGCATTAAACCTTGATTTGCAAGATTACATCCTTTTCCTAGTTTAATCCCAATTTAACAATGAGCCATTAAAATGTCTAAGTTTGGATATTTAGAATATTCCTAATCATTTATTATTTTTAATTCATACAAATTATATTATTCATAAGTCTTTAATGGTTATGATACGCACCATCTCTAAAGCTCTTGATTTCATGTCCTTCCCAGTCAAAAAGACATCTTGCACCAGATTCTAGCTTTAGTTTGGCAGTACAATCATCAAGGAACTAGAAACAAGATTATAATGATATCAATAAGTGAACTGACAAATTAATTCTTATAGTAAAAAAACATGATAAAATAGAATTCCAGTTCAAAATTTCAATTAAGCTAGTACATATTAAAAAATCCTTGTTCACAACATAGCAATGGCAGCACGAATTGACAAGGAACACTCCAAAAACAGAAATCCCATGCAAGTCTTTATATAACTAAAAGTGCTAATATGGAGGAGTGAACATAAAACTGCTTTCACAACTAAACTCGAAGATCAATTTAGTTCACTATAATTTACCACCAAAATAGGTAATCCAAATAATCATAATAAACTTGAAAAAAGAAGGTTCCATTATATCAAAATCGACTTTGGTTGTGGACTGATCTTATATTATTTATATTTATATAATAACTTTATTTGCAAACAAATAATGATATAAAAAAAGTTGCAAAAAGGGTGCTGCCAGGGAAGAACTAGTCTCCCTCGCATCCGACACTAAAAACGGATGCGAGGGAGACTAGGGAAGAACTGAATCCTCATATATGGCAGCCCCATATATTGTTAAACATTGCTAATATTTTAAACAAACTATGAATTCAAAAAAGCAATGAGGCTTAAACCAAGATGCCAAACTGTGGAAAGACAAGCTGGACAACAAAACCAGAGTATTGAGCAATTTTCCCAATAGTTCCCAATTTTACTGGCCATGGGTTTATTCAGAAATAATACTCCACCTCATTAAATCTTGCAGCAACAATTTCAACTCCTTCAGCACTTTCTCCATTTCTAAACACAAGGATTCTTCTTTTTTGGCTTTCTACAAGTGTTTGCATCCTCTTGCTTAGGGTTGTCTTTGTCTTACCACGACTTTTGTTCTCTGGTAAAACAATCCCAGTGAGTGTCCAACATGCTGATCTTCGAAGTTCTTCTTTCTCTGGAAAATTAAGGCAATAAAATGAAGGGAGTCTGTCTTTTCGTCGAGGGTTGAGGGTACCAAGTCAAGGGTCCAGTTTTACGTTGAGGGTACCAAGTACCAAGTACAGGGTAGACCGAATTACAATGTCTAATATGGAGGAGAATTTCTAACTATTGAAAATATAATTATAAATCATTCGACAGTGTACCAAAACTTTTCCAACACTCAAGTAATTTCATACAGAAAAAGTATATATTTTTTAAATGCTCAGTGGGGGAAGGATTTGGGGGGGAGGGGGGGATCTTAGGTAAAAGTATCCAAGTATTTTTTTAAAAAAAACCCTAAAAGATATCAATAGCCTTTAAATTAATTAATTAATTAATATTACAATTTGCATACTTCTATCACCAGGCTTTTGGTTGTGAGATCCAAAACAGGTGACACTGGTCTCTAATAGGGCCTCTGAAGTTTACATTACTTCAGTTGGCCCTATTAGAAACTAGGGGATCACATTAAGCTCCAGCCCAACCTTAATTAATTATTGCAGAAAATGATTTACATTGTATCATTGATCCTTTGCTGAGAGATCTCTCTTACCAAGTGATTAAGAGCTCAAAATTGATAGCATGAAAAGTTAGTAGCATTTATTTCGATTTAAACTCTTAGTAAAAACCCCACAAAAGCAGAGCTACCTATAGAAATCTTTCCACACATACTTGCATAAAAATGCAACCAGTAGAATACTTATATTAAAAATTATGGTATTCTGGTATTGCAGCATATTGGGGGAGGGGGCAAGGAAAGGGTGGGGAGCTCCCTTTTCTCCAAAACGCTGCTAGGCAGGCTAATTGCCAATCAGAAGGAACATTATACTGTCAATTATTTACCTTTTAAAGTAGAGTAAGGGTCCTTGAATGCCTCCCCACATGAAACATAAACATCATCGTCTTTCTCAATCAGTCTACTGTCAGTAATCAAAGTTCCATCACTAAAGAACAGCTTACGTGCTGCTGATACAAGGCCAAGTTTCAAGGTGCAGTTATCCAACAGCTATCAAAATAAACATGGTAAATTCTTTTTTTTTTTTCTTTATTGGAACTTGAAATCTATATTTGAAAGGGGTTAGACAACCTTAAGATGACTTTTTAAGGGCAGTCATTCCATGCCAGCTGTTTATAATTTACTGCACTGTACATTTCGAATACAAAGGCCAACTCCCTCTCCCCAAAGCCCCTACAATTTAATAGTAGAGTTAGCCTTATCTTGCAAATTAATGCAAGCAAAAGCTATAAAGAGCAATATTGTCTACATTAAAATATTACCTGTAACAAATCTGGTGCAGTCACTCTTGCAAAATTTTCTCTATTGCCATTTTGAAAAGCTCTGATACATATTACTTTAGGCTTCTTCTTGTATAAAGGCTTGTTTCTTTTTATACTACTTGACCCTGCGGTAGAGCTTGCTACAAATTAAATAAATTGTACACATGCTTTTAGTTATGCATTCCAATTTTTTTCCAAGTCTGATTGACTTTGGCAGCAGGCAGCATTTTCTATTATAATATAACAGTATAAATCTTGCATTCTAATTGGTTGGGAGCTCGTGCTTTATGAGAGCACACAGCATGCACTCGCCCTTTTCACTTTATAAAAGAAATAAAAAACTTGCTAGCTGTGCTGTGCTCTGCTACACCTCATGCTTCCCCTAACACTTCTCTCATGTTCTAAACTATCCCTGTGTGCCTTATAACTGCACACAGAACGCACACACATTTTTTATTTCTTCATTTCTGCATGGATCCAGTGTCTTGACATTAGGCTTACATAATTCACACACATGCATGGAACAACATTTTTGTTAATTAAGAAAATAAATTGCAAAACAAGAGGAACAGTAAATGGGAAAGTTATTATTAACAACTCATTTAATAATGAGAAACTGTGCCCTTAGTTTTGAAAATAGACCTTGGCCTAACAGCCTCGGTCAGCATAATTATTTGATAATTTCTTAGGCACAGTTTTTCCCTATCTGGACCTCCTGGACAGTAAATAACCTATATATAGCCTAATGTATATCTTTGGGTTTAGCAAAAGAAAAACAAAGTAGTTATGATTCTGTTTCCAATTAAAAATTTTTTTTAGATAGATGTACAGTGTTGCATCTTCAATTACAAAACACTTTGAAATATATATTTACACAATTATTAGGGGAACTCCCCTGCGGGCCAAAGCCTTAAGAAAAATTGGTAACCCATCAAGTTGATTCTTGACATGGCTTGGCTGACGTCACTTCAGTCAGCATAAATGTCAATGAATCAACAAATCAAAGACTTTCTCTCAAAACTCTTAATATTTCTATAGATTAAAAGCTTTGTCACATACAGGGCAAAATTACTCGATGCTGATTGGCTATTGAAGGAGGGCTTTTCTCTGTAATTTGCAGGGCCGAATTACTAGAGTATGATTGGGAGTTTAGTTACCTAGCAATGCTTGCAAACCATGAAAATAAAAAGTTCAAGTCAAAATGAGAACACTAGAAAGTGTACGAGTGTCTGGATTAATGTTTTCCGTAAATGGGGCCCGAAAATTAAAGACCACTCAAGTAATCCGAAATGTGTACAAGTTCACTGTGCTTTTGAACGGCATCCTGGAATTAAATAATTCAGTTCAATCATCTTGGTCTGGAGGTGCCTCCATATAGTTTTTGTACGCGCGCACACCAGGTTGAGCACGAGCAGGTGCAGCACCAGAATTTCTATTTTGTTGATGTCACGTAAAGTTGATGGCATATATTATTTTTAAAATAATAAAAACTCAAAAACGACATGGTCAAATATAGTAGAATGATAAGGCAACTGATGCAATTTAAAAAATATCTGGACTACAGAAAACTTTTCATCTTGAAAAATTAACATTTCTTTAATATCTTGCTTTCTGTAGTCACGATATTTTAATATAATGCTGTCATATAATACGTAACAAAACAACTTTCATATTACACAATCTAAAAAAGATTGACCACGGCAAACCCAAGATTTTTTATTTTTTAATGGCAAAAAGGGCCCGTTTTGTGGCTGATGTGTTGCTGCTTTGGTAACTATTCGCGTGATCATTTTTCACAAAAAATGATTCCTAAACCCATAGTCTGAAATTTGGTTAGCCTATCAGATATCAAGTGTATGTATTTGCTATAAAATAATTCCTAGTTCTATTACTCTAAAGCCATATGAAGCCACCTTAAAACATCACTTTAATCCGCTTCTTCGTTTGGATTCTAATTCAGATTAAGAACTTCGTAGGTAAGGAATCTAGTTTTATGCATGTTTTTATGGTTTTTGACTCGATCTTTTAYGTTTGAATTCTGAATAAAATTTGTTTGAACCATAACTACATTTCATTTGATAGTTCAGGATCAATGGATTTTCTTCGTTGAATTTTACCCTACATGTATATAGGATAAACGGGACTCGGACAATATCAAAACTTTGAAAACACTCGTGAAATTAATCCTTAATTTTACTCAGCCTCATACAATTAATACCTTTATTACATCCATTTTGAAATCACAAGCAAATCCTGCAATCTGATTGGTTCCCTGCAGCAGTGATTTCAGCMTAAATTGCACGATTTTGAGCTCTAAATTGCATGATTTTGCACATCAACTGATATGAACCAATCACAAGAGAGACATGTCATTTTCTAGCCAATTACGTTAAGGAATCCATTTGAGTGTTGAGCTCGCTGCTTCTTGCGAAAAAAAAAGAGCCACGGCTCAAAAACATTTTCTGAAGAACGATTTTACCATAAGAAGTTGTAAATAAAGATTTAAAAAGCAGTAAAAAGAACTTAAAAAGACCAACTGAGCACTTAAAATTGTCAAAAGCATCTTTGTAAAGTAACTGCTTTAGCAACTTGAAGATATTACAGCGAAATGTAGTGGGGGAAAATGCAATCGGCATCTTTTGAATGTGACTTCTTGGCAATTGATTGTGTAAAGTGGTTTCCTTTTCAATCTTTAAAGCATAAAACACATCGAAAATACAGTCATTAAAAGAAGGTTTTCTTAATAAGAAGAAGATTTTTGCTGAGCTACGTGACTTCTTAAGGACAACCCAAGGACTAAACAACCTTTAATTTTTGCTGTTTTCTCGGCACAAGTGTGGTCTTAACATGTTGAACAGAAA